CCCCAAAACCCCAAAACCCCAAAACCCCAAAACCCCATAGGGCAAACTAGATATTGAATATTAATCTAAAAGTGTATAGACAGTTGAAGCCAGCCCCGACACGGTGACTAATCCTGCAATCAAGAAGTGGAATAGCCATCTCTTCCAGCTTATCTCATCTTTGAAAGCTTTGTTGTAGAACATGACTGGGAATACAATAATTGTGAGAACTCCAACCACTCCTCCAGCAATGTTGAATAGAGTATGGAGGTTTGGGATGATCATAGCAATTGCAGCACAGAAAACAAGGCTGACAAGGGCTCCAATGTAGTATTTTGTTGTTGGGTTATTTCTAAACATGGAGATATGACCATCAAGAGCAGTTGTTCTGTACAAAGTATCAGAGATAGGGTTTAGCTGAATTGGCATAGACCCGATAACTACAAAGCAGTACATAATTCCGAGAATACTTCTCAGAGTACTGTTTGTAAGTCTATCAATGATAATATCATCAACAGTGTTGACAAATGCGATATAAGTGACTCAAGATAAGACACATTTGAAGGCGATTATAGTTGACATTCCGAAGGAGGACACCTTCTTGAAATCTTTTGGTTTCTTCATCGAGTTCTCAATCTGGAGGCATCCGACGTTTCCCTCATACTGATAAACTCAAATACCAAAGAAGAGAGGGAAATGGGGAAAGTTGAAATACTCCATTTCAGTCTTGGGCTCAGTAGAAATGTTGATAAATGAGTTGACTATTACAACGAGCATTGCTGATAAGACTCAAGTCAGAGAGAAGAAGGATACGTACGATATCTTTTTCAAATCTCAAAACATACAGATAGGAGTAATACCGATCAATACTAGATAGGAAGGGAAGTACTTGTTCAGGAAATAAAAGTAACTTATGACAACTATGAGTTGTTGGATAAATATCACACATGTGATGAGATAATATCCAATGTCACCAAAAAGAGTCCTACCTAGATCAGAGTAAGTTTTAATAGCATGTCTACTTTGGACAACCATATCTGTATAGGCGCCGCTACTCTCACTTAGTCTAAGAGGATTCATCTCTCCCATGTCTTCATCTTCATCCTGTTGAAGGTCCTCTTCTCTGATCTCTCTATGGGGTTGGTTTGGATCATCTGGGAAGTAATTATCTTCCTCATTAAATTGATCTTTTAGGATTTTTCTTCTAGCCAGCACCATAATATTGATCCCATAAAGAGCAAGAAGTCCGCAAGAGAAGATCCCTACAAGACCAAATCCAAGCCCAGCGTTTTTCATCGCTGAGGTAATTGTCAATGGACCCATACCAAGGTATGACTTCGTAAGGTTTAAGTAAGCATGGGCGAATTTTGAGTCAGGCTTAGTAACACTATAGTTACTCTTGATAGATCAAGCCTTGCTTCCCACAGAAAGTCTATCTATTTCATACTCTTTGTTTTCGTATTTAAAAGTATTATACTCTCAGTTTTTTGGTGCTTTATCACTTTTTGAGTCTGAAATAGTATGATCTGCAGTCTGTTCACCGAATTTTGATTTATTCTCAATGGTAGCCTCTTCCATTACAATTTATTATAAAATTTCGAATAATTTTTGATCAATCCTCTGAGATTAGCAGGGGTTTTGGGGTTTTGGGGTTTTGGGGTTTTGGGGTTTTGGGG